GACCTTGTGTTATGTCATGTGTCTTTGATTATTTGAATAAATTACGACAAAAAAGATTAATCGAATAAATTTTTAATGCATGCATCATTTTAATGTTAATCATTCATTGTATGATTAGGTTAAAAAACGAAAATCTAAAATTTGCATATAAGAATGATGAAATTTTACATGGAATTTATGACTAAGCTATTATTGTTTTTTTTACATTTTTTACAATACAAATCAAAACTCTAATCTAATAACATATTAATTCTTTCTTTTTGTTTGAACGTCAAACATATATATCATGAACTAAACTAAATGGTGTGTGAACATAATTTAACTTTATTTTGATAAATTCTTGTATAATCGCGATGTTATTTATATGATTTAACTTATAAAGAAAAAACAAATATATAACACCACAAATTTATAATATTGAACGATGAATTGAGATGCAGTAGAGTTTTATGTAGATGGAAAAAATCTTATTACTATTAAATAAAAGATGGGAACATTTGGCCGGCCGGTATAAGGATTTAAGAACTGTTACAACAAATAATTTTAATCTTAAGAAAATTTTCAGTATTTAGGAGGAGGAAGTAGCCATGTAGAGCCCTTAATGTAACCAAGAGTTAGGAAAGGTCTAACTTCGTTTTGGTCAACATCTTGTGTGAAAGGCACTCTCTTCTCTAAGTGTGACCCTGGTCCGAAACACTTGTATTCTCCATAGAACACCGTCCTACATTCATCAAATTCGAGTTTTAATCAAATAAAAAAAATGTAATATTGATTGAGTTATGATGTAAATGAAATGATATATGAAAATACTACTTGTCATATCCGTGTTGGAGGTTTTCCTTCCAACCAACTGGGTTAACCACGCTGGTCATCTCTGTGAAAGCGTATATGACTTTAGGGTGGCTCATCCAAGACCGTCCCAAATAGATTCCTGTTCCGGTTCCAGTGACTTTGCAGTGTACGAATGTGTATCCATTTTGTTCGTTCGTGCTTTGTCTAGCTTGCGCTGTGATCACTCTTAATCCATCTCCAACAGCGTGTAACTTCGTGTTCTATAGTATACAAATATGTATTTATTTAAACATGTTATATGTATATTTATCATGTTAAAAGAGATGAAGTAATTTAAAGGTTACCAAGTACAAGGAAGCTCCTCTTCCAAAGATAAAATCATAGGTTCCTTCGATGTAACAATCCTTGAAGAAATGGTTGCCTTTGTCGTCGCAAAGCGTATCTTGAAAACCGTAGAATCTACAGTTGTAGAAAGCTGCCTTATCGCCGTTGATCCTCATAGCTAGAGCTTGTCCTTGCGAACCTGGTTTCGGCATAGGAGCAGTATTCTATATAGAATAACAAAATCAAAATTAGTATTGCAATTAATCTTGCTAATGTGTAATGTAATAACGTAGAACGAGTGTGTATATATTTCACATACTTTAATGGCGAGGTTAGCTGCCATGAAATAATCAGACCAGACGATAAGAGTTGCACTATCTACGGTTCCGTACTTAGCGGCAGTACCGTGGTAGGTCAAGACCGTTTCTGCACCAGGTTGACCAAGCAATGTAACAAATGGTCGAGCTATGTCGATTGTGACCTTCTCATTGTATATGCCAGGAGCCAACTTGATGATCACACGGTTCTTGTTTCCTACTGGAATACTCTTGATCGCTTCGTTTATTGTCTTAAAATTGCCTCCTCCTTTTTGATTCACCTATAATGAAATTTTCATTAGATTTATATAAATACCAAATCGAGCTTATTGATTATTATTTTTCACTAAGGTTCGTCAAACTGCGCAAAATAACCCTTTGTTTTTTCCTTTGCATATCTCTTCTTTACATGATGAAGTTTTATCTTTCGAAATTCATAAAATCGAATTTAAACCAAACCGAAAATTGGATAATATTGTAACTTACAGTGATAATTTGTCGCGATGCTTCAGCAGCATCGAGGGCAGGGTCTAGCGTGCCCTTTCTCTTGGAAAATGGTTGAACGTTGGTGTGGAACCATTGCGGGATTTTGGATCTATCTTCTGGAATCGGGTCGGTATCGGTGGCTAGAACAACCGGGGAGGCGAAAATGACAAAGAATGCAACTATGGCTAGAGAAATGTAACCCATCTTTTATTGTTTTCTTTTATTTCCTTACAAAATAAAAGAAAATAATGTAAAAACCAGAGAAAAAAAAAACTATTTGTAATTACTATTTTATTTACTTTTAAGATGTAAGAAATGACATTGAAGGGGTTTATATATACTTGTCTTGCTCGTCAATGTCTGACCGGACAGATCTTAATTTACTATTCTCGTTTGTGGTTTATAATTCTTGAAGCATTTTTGAATATTTGATTTTGTAAATTCATCTATCATCATCTGATTTTTCCAAAAAAGGAAAATTTACAGTTGTAGAGTCAACATGTTGACTGACTGCTCCAGTAAGAGAACTCTATTATTATATCTTCTATTTATAAACTGACCTAAACCACATGTTATGTTTGAAAGTAAATTTGCTAGACAGCTAACATTAGTGGCACGTCCTAAGTTTTTACCAGTAATTTTCGCCAATTAGTACTTATTTATTTTTATCTTTTTGTCATTTATTTCTATTATGTGTATGCCAGTAAGATCACGTAATTTAATAATGTTCCCCTAAAAATATATATCCAGTATTCTTGGTAAAATCATGATTTTACAATTACTGAAAAAATAACAACATTTTGCAGTTCTCAGCAAAAAAAAAATATATATATTTACACGACTTACAAAAAATATTCTAAGACATAATTTCTCGTCAAAAAGGATAATCCAAAATTTCAAGTTTTAGCAAAAAAAAAAGAAGTGAAATCACGTTTTGCTAGAATTTTTTTTCATTACCATCAA